CGCAGTTGTTCTTGACCCCAATTGGGGTCATTTTTTTTTGAATAACTTTAGAGGTACATAGTCTGTAGATGGAAAAGGAGTCTTTAATGACAGTCGAGATTGCAGGGGCACTTTCGAGCATGGGGGTAGCAGTAGACGAACGATGTACAAATTTGCCGACCATGATTGGTCGATGTCAAAGTAGTCACTACCGTGACCAACTCCGTGACTTGACCACATACAGATCAAAAATATTCTTGACATTTTTAGCAGGTCTCAACATCGGGCGAGTTGCATGCTAACTCGCCGTCTATTACGCACTTCCTCCGCTCTTTCCATCACAAAACGAATCAAGACATATCCTGTTCGAGGTCCTTTCCAGTGGTTACCAATGGCTTCACCTAAAGTCGGTGAGACTCGACCCTTACCACCAGAAGACGTGATAGTCCCAGGAAAACGTCCTAAACTAGACACCGAACCCGAGATTACAGCAGAAGAAAAAGCGAGGAAGAAGCAAAATGAAAGGTCTAGGAAACTCGCCAAGAAAAACGCCAAAAAGTTAAAGAAAGCGCGAGAGCATCTTCCAGACCAATGTTCGCCCGAAGATGTACAGTGGAGGGATATAGTCGAGTTATTAGGACAAGATGTCGTGGATAGTGCTGTTGAAGAAGGAACCGAATTTCAGTCACCTTTTGCTTTTCACGAGGAGGTCGAGTTGGAGGTTAAAGCCATTTGTCCAAATGGTATGTGTTAACTCTTCCTTACCTCAACGATACAGACAGAAACTTTACAGGTGCTCCTCTTGCTCAGGTGATGGTCTCGCTCAATCCGACTCTGAAGATAGACGGCCCTGGGTGGTCATAGTTCCATTCAGCCTACCTGGAGAACGAGTTAAAGCGAGGATTTACAAGAATGCAAGGATGCATTCTATGGCGGATTTCATTGAAGTCCTTCGACCTAATCCGGAGATGAGGGATGATAGTAGGGTCAAGTGTCGATATTTCTCAAAGTGTGGAGGATGCCAATACCAGGTGCGGAACACATTTCTGCTGGAAGGCCATCTTACTGACTGTATACATCTTTAGATGCTTTCTTATGAGACACAGCTCGACCTGAAGCGTGACGTTGTTATTAAAGCATATAAAAACTTTTCTAGTGAGTTTTCATTGTTATGTTTCGGTCCCAAAACTGAATCACGTCTCTCGAAGACCTTCCCCAGTCTGTTATTCCTACTGTTCAACCTACCATCGGTTCACCATTGCAGTACGGTTATCGTACCAAAATAACTCCGCATTTCCAAGCTCCTCCACCTAAAATCGACAAAGCTGAACTTCAAAAGCAATGTGCCGAAGGAGAAGCACCCGACTGGCTACAAATTGGTTTCAACCACCAGGGGACAAGCAAGGTCATTGATATTGAGGTATGTATATCTTCAAATTCAGTTTGTCCTACCCACTGACGCTGCCATTGCCGTGCAGGAGTGCCCCATCGCTACCCCTGTACTGAACGAAGCTCTACCTGGTGTGCGGGAAAACATCGTCAAGTGCGTCTTAAGTCCCTACACCGTTTTACACCCGCTGACCCTATCTCTCAGGACAATCCACACCTACAAACGCGGAGCTACTCTACTCCTCCGTGAGACTCTCGACACTGCAGAGGACAGCAAACACCCTCCCGGCACCAAACTCTGCAACACTAGCCAAAATGCCTCCATCCGAGAAAAAGTAGGCGATTTCACATTCGAATACGTCGCTAGCTCTTTCTTCCAAAACAACAATGTTATCCTTCCCGCCTTGACTTCCTACGTCCGTGACGCCATCCTCGCTTTATATCCCGACCCTGAAGACCCTGCTCGTCCTACACACCTCATCGACACGTACTGTGGTTCGGGCCTGTTCGCTATCACGCTTTCCCCCAACTTTTCCAAAATCGCCGGGATCGAAATCTCTGCGGACTCGATTCTGTATGCGAAACAAAATGCCAGACTGAATGATATCCCTTCAGATAGAGTCGATTTCCGCAAAGGTGACGCTTCTGATATCTTTCAGACCGTTTCGGATTTTCCTCCTGAAAAGACGGTGATGGTCATTGACCCCCCGAGGAAAGGCTGCGATGACGCGTTTATTCAACAGCTGTTGAAGTTTAGGTGTAAAGTCGTGGTGTATGTGAGTTGCAACGTACATACGCAGGCGAGAGATGTTGGGAAGATACTCAAGGCTACGGAGGGTGAGGTTGAAGGGTCCGGGAGGAAGTATGTGTTGGAGAGTTTGAGAGGGTTTGATTTGTTCCCGCAGACGGCTCATGTTGAGTCGGTGGCGATTTTGAAGTTGGTGTGATCAGGATGTAGATGCTGGCTATAGGATCTTACTTGGAGCTGTCAGTTTATTTCGGTAGTGTAAGAATCTACCGGGAAAATACGATGTCAACTGCAGAATGCGACCGACTAAGTCAACTATCTATGCATGTAAACATTGCCAATGGCGCAAGATCCATATCATATTCTGTCATTGCGCTAACCTACATTTTACTGTCGACATTGATGTTCTTGCAACAACATTTTACCTCTCTACTTTTGAATCCACTTCGGCATCCATCGACGAAGAACCATGAATTTTTATACAAGTAACTAAACGGCTTCTTCTCTCACGAACAAATCTAGTACCCTCGGAGTAATCCTCCTCGATTCGCGGTGACCATAGGGCAACTATATGAAACATTATGAAACATATATTGGCACTAGCGCGACGCTCCTTGATTATCTCCTTGACGTGGTGCATAACTCTTGTCAGTGCCTTTGACATCATCAGCTCTCTCTCGATAGGAACTGTCCTTCGAGCGCAGAAAAAATTATATTTCATCCATACGTCAAACTCGATCAACGATGGTCGTCTATCAGAAAGCGATGCTTTCCATGGGGCGGGCCCGATACCGACTCATGACCAGGCCCAGGACCCAGAAAGCATTGATCTGATCACTAGTTTGCATCTGTCGTCCAGAACTGGCTCAATTCTTTCTGAAGATTTGATAGAGGAACAACTGTCGAGATATGCTTTGGACGAGGTATGGAGTGAAGATTTTATGGACGGAATTGCGGTGTCGTCGACGTCAGGGAGCGGGAAGTTTCAGATTGACTTGTCTGCTGTGCGATGGATGAAAGCGAAAGGCATTAAAACTCTATATCATTTTGCGGGGAGTTTGATAGATGACAACAATGGCAAGTTCTTCACTGACAAGGACGTGGATTTGCAAGGGATCGCGCTCGTCCAATTATCTCCGGTCATTACAATTCCTCCTGGACCTTTTGCAATCACCGTGAAGAATACTGACGCCCCTCGTACAATTCATGACGTCTATCTGCTCGTCCCAGATGTGTACGAGGCATTTGTGTTTGGAGTGATACCTAATGGGCCTGGCGATAGTTGGATCCAGACGAATTTCACCTTTCCCAATGCCAATGATCTTGCTCTGACCGTCAACCGCGACTTGCACACTCCGGCTCAGTATATTCCGATTCTCTCACGTCTCAGAAGCCAGCTAGAGGATCCGGATGACACCACCACCACCATGCGCACCCTGTTACCACTCACCGGCAAACGATTCGTTGTGAAAGACATTTTCGACATGCGAGGTGTCACTACCACCGCTGGATCCTCTGCCTACGCCAAAGTACATCCAATAGCCAAAGAGACCGCGCCTTCTATTCAAGCTCTCATCGATCTAGGTGCGATCCCTGTTGGCAAAACACGCACGTCTCAATTTGCGCATGGTGCTAACTCTTGGGAATTTGTGGACTTTTCATACTCTTGGAACCCTCGTGGAGACGGGTATTTGACAGCGATGTCTTCGAGTTCGGGGAGTGCTTGTGCGATAGCTGGGTATGGTTGGATTGATTTTGCGATCGGAAGTGATACAAGAGGCAGTGTAAGGAGACCTGCATCCGTAGTTGGAGCATATGGAATACGACCTTCATTTGGGAGTATGGATCGGCAAGGTGTTGTGCCTTTAGCTGAGGAGTTGGATACTATTGGTTTCTTTGCTAGGGACCCGGGGCTGTTCCATGAGGTAGCTACATTGTGGCAAGTCGTACCTCGGTTCGTGTGCTCTTCCCGTACACTGATCTAATATCCCTCAGGTATGCAGAATCGCCGGTCAAGGATAGATCTGTGTTCTCAGGCTTTCCAAGTCTATTGTACTACCCATACGATCACTTTCCTGTCAAGAACCCTATGGCCCAAGCCATCTACGACGACTTTATCGACGCACTCTGTCAGCAGCTCGGTATTACGAAAATCCCGTTCAACGTCACCGAAAAACTGTCGACCTACTTTCCTGCTAGTGGCTTTTCTCAATTCAAACGGCTTTCCGACATTCTCGCCGAATATCATTCTTGGAACGTCGTTGGTAGACCGCTCTCCGAATTGCACTTAGACATTTTTGGCAAGGAAGCTAATTTCGATCCTGTGCCCCAATCCGTGTTTTCTCGTGCCAGAGGTCCGAGTCTCACTTTCGAAGATTATCAAGCTGCTGTCTCTCTCAAGAATGCTTTCACTGAATCGATTTCCACAGATTTGTTCCGACACGACCATGAGTCTTGTTCGGACTCCATCCTTGTTTACGATACCGGAATGGGTGGAGCACCTTCTTATCGAGTCAAATCGTACAACTCTTATCCTGGCGCTTCAGATACTCAAACTGTTTTGAAGCCCTGGAAACCTGCGATCTTGACGGAGAATTTGCAATACGTTGCTTCCATGGGTGGGTTGGTAGAGATTACGGTACCTCTAGGGCAGGTGGAATATTACAGTTACGTTAGCGGAGAGTGGGAAGCTTTACCAGTGTCGGTACAGCTGGTGACGAGGAGGGGTTGCGATGAGATGCTACTTGCTATGGTGAAAGAGCTCGCAAATCGTGGTATCGTGAAAGAGGTGATGGTCGGGAAGGCGTCATTTTCGCAGTTTGTGTGGTGATAGCCTAGCTTGAGGGCTTGGGTTTATGACTTAGTCCAGACTTAGTTCAGTCGTGGCCTAATGGTCTAGTAGTATGATTCTCGCTTTGGGAGGTCACTTCACTTGCGAGAGGTCCTGGGTTCAATTCCCAGTTAGGCCCTTAAAGTCATGCTTGACCCATTTTTTGATTCACCTTGTCTTCCAGAAATCCACGTAAAAATATGGACCTGAAGTAAGTATCGTGGGAGTCGATTAAAATTTTTTTTGAGATACATAATCAGACGAAACTTCCGTGGATTTGGAGGAGGAGGAGGAGGAGGTTGGAATAGACAAAAGTTTGACTCGAATACGATATGTAACGAGGAATTCAGGACCAACTTCGTATTGGATCTATGTCGGTTACTCAAAAGCACTAGAAGTGAAAACAAGTATCTCAACGATGATTAGACTGAACTCGAGAGGAAGTAAACTACAAGGTCAGCTTTTATTAATTGACCAATTGGTCCGAGTTAGACTATTTCACTCATTCTCGTCTTCAGTCACTAGCTCCGAATCAATCAAAACCTTCCATCCGCCATTTTCATCCCCGGATTCATGATGCCCTACCGAGTCTGTTTCCGTACGGTGAGTGTCCGCTGGAAACCAACAGTACCCTGTATCTACTAAATCTTTGAGCACAGAGTCCATTCGAACCATTGCTTCAGTATATTTGACGATATATCGGGTGTTTTGTTTGTCTGTCACGCCAGAACGCAACGAACTCTCTCTGTAGATGATAATGCTCCTGATCCTTCTCCCACCGAGGCCCTGTATTTTGAAAACTTCGAGCTTGGGAAGGACCATTATCAAGCTTTCTTGAGATTCACTCGAGGAGGACGCTGGTTCAGAGGCAACGTTAATCTCGGAAACGCTGGCACCTTCGATTTCTAGATCATCCAAGGTTATCTCGAGTGCCTCAGTCTCCTCGGGTCCAATCTCCCCTTCATCTGTAGCGATTGGAGAAATTCCGATGTCCTCTCCCACGAAAAGCCTCCAGATATCCTCGCCTGGACAGACGGTTGCGAAGTTCAATTCCAGCTCCCGCAAACCGGTGAGCGAGTAGATAAAATTTTTGAATGCACCGATGGAGCAGCTGTCCAAGGCAGATAGCGTCAGAGACGCCAAGTATGAAAGGGATGGGAACAAAGGCTGTGTTAGAGCTTCCGAGACACTGCTGCCGCTGCTGAATAAGCCACCGACGAATAGTTCCAACACCCGAGAGTAATCATCATCCTCCTCAATCAGATCCAACTCTAATTTCTGCAGATTCGGAATGTGCGTCAGCTCCAAAGTATTGACGAGGTAATCCGAGTCGAGATCTGCCAACTTCAAGTACTCCAAGTGTTCCAAGGTGATCCTTCGTCCAGAATCAGCAGTGGGCCAGGTTAGTGACACGTCAAATTCATCGGCTTGTTTTGGGCCAGAGTAAAGTATACTGAGGCTTCTGAGATTTGGAGAACGAAGCATCATCTCCCAACACTCGTACGGAGGTCTGATCCTTTCTGGATGGAGCGCCAACTCGAGAGACTCGAGCTCACCGAGATAAGGGCTGCTCAGCCAGGGAAGATTCACGCCTATGAGACTGACGTGCTTCAGATTGGGAGCGATGTTTCTGAAACACATCCTAGGAGGCCTATGAATGATGTTCCACAAATCTTCCGCATCTTCGTAGTCCTCAAAGTGATACAGCTGGAGCGTCTCGAGGTTGGGTGCAGGTCCGCAGTCCTGTGTCAGGGCTCTCCGTGCGCATAGTCGACAATCGTTGTCTTGGACTTGGAGATGGAACGTTCGCCACCGAAGTGTTTCGGGTGTAAGGATCGAGAAAATCTCTGCCAACTGTGCTTGACTGAGATTCTCACCCTGAACGTACTCCTGTGGCGCTACCGTCAAAATCAGGATGTCGAGAAGATTCTGAGTGGGGTATTCGGGAAAGCCCATCGCGTTCAGGCCCATCGTAGCAGTGTTTTTCGGAATGGTTCTCGAAAGGAAGAGGCGAGCTTTTCGGATATCAGAAGGGGCACGGAAATGAAGTGTATTCCAAAGAACAGGATCGTCCAAGGCTATAGCTCGCCATCTCCGACAGACGGACGAAACTGCGACTTGAAAGTCGGAAGAGTAAAAATAATCCTCCTCTTCCGACGGACCGGAGGCTTTGAGCAAGAAAGGTCCCTCTTCGTCGCGAGGTTTGTTGAGACCTGTGCCGTATCTAAAGATGCTTTCGAGCAAATCTCTCGAGAACGCGTCGATGTTGGTGGGCATGACTTGAGTCTTGTTGATGCCTTTTGAGAATGGGAATCAAAGAAAGAGGAATTTTTAGTCTAGTTAAAAAGAAACTCTGACAACATGCTGACGAAACACATACATAGAGCTCAACTGGTAAAGCTCACGACTTGAATTTCGAAGGCCGATCCGTTGAACTAGATCTGGTATCTTTGATTAATGCTGAGTTCTGACCCGCTATCGTTTGGCTGCCGATAAATCAGAAAGTCAACAAAAACGAGTTGGAACCTTCCCTTTCAATTGAAGTGACTACCCGTGAGTACAGACCATCTCATCACCTTTCAACCTCTCAAGAGATATGGCACATACAGATAGAAATTTTGGCAGCAATGCTTTTTTGCGCCCAACTGCATTCCACTCGGTTGACGCCTTCATCATGACGTGCATTGTGGCATATACATTCAATACATCCTGTCAAGCTCCTCCAGTGTCTAGCTCTCGTTGTTGATCTACGCTCCGAGATCCCAGGAACATATTCCGGCTGGGATGATGGCAATCAGAGATTTAGTGCTAATCCCGCCGATTGAATACATTTGCATTGAAAAGAGTTCCATGCTGAGCATCGCAAAAAAAATGCAACTTCATCACCGTCAACAGCGGTTGGAAAGAAATTCGCCGGTAGAAGTAGACCCATTTTAGTTTGGAAGCCGAGCTCGTTTGAATAGCATTTTAGCAAGATTATATTTACAGAGAAGATGCACCTGGAGATGAAACTCGTACAGTTGAGAGGTGTGAGGAAAGGTTGCGGAGACTAGCTTGACATTTTGTTGAAGTCACTGCAGGCTGTCCGTTGTTGGACAGTCTGGAGCAATGGAACACCTGTGAATAAATAACGATTTCAGAATCCAAACAAACTACTTCAAAGCTTCGTGACGCACCAGCTAAAAATGATTCTTGCTTCGTAGTAGGAAGCCATACATTAAGAAAGTGCTGTCATAAGGATGACTCCTTGATAAATGAATCCTCTACACCCATGGAATAATGTCAGGCTGTGGATCAGAAATGTCTGATGTATGAAGAAGTTCAAGGATAAAACATATCAGCGAAAAAAAGATATCAGCAAAAAAAAAGATATGATCAAAAAAACAACAAAAGGTTTATGGACTGCGCGCACCCCAGCGCGTCTGAATCCTGCCCTGATCTCCTAAGACTAACTCGGTGGGTTACTGCAGATTGCGGAATTGCTTCCCTGGTCTGACAAGTACCGATTATTCCAAGTCCATTTCATGCTTTACAGCGCGAAGGACTGTGAACACCAAGTTTTCTGGAGGGGACAGTCTTGAACCAGCGCACTCGGGGTGTTGCTCGCTGTATAGAACAATCCACATTCCCAGCTTCGGGCCGTTACAACCACTAAGCTAAGGAGCCGACATAAACATACAGCGTGTGCCTTTTCTTATACAGTTGTGGGGAAGAGTAAATGATCCGTTTTCCTGCCAATAATTTGGTCAAATTCTCAAACCTTTTATTTTTTGTCCGTTTGAGAGCTTTTGGATGCTCTGATTCGCCGGGATGGACACTGGAACTGAGTACTTAATAGTAGAGTCACAGTCACGGATGTCGTCTCCTGTGACTCGACAAGGTCACGGTCACTACACGAGACTCGGGTCACTCACACTGGGAATTTCTCGTCGCGGCGACGGTCGCGTTCTTCTACTAGGAGTGCTCCCTAAACTGGTCTCTATTCAACGTTTATCTTAATATCTAAACTATCCAATCATCTATTCGCGATTTGTCTACATCTTAGCTTTGGGTGGTGATGGTGCCATCTTGATATGTATCCCAGACGAAACGAGGCGATGGTGAGTTTTGCTCCATATCTATTTTTCCAGTGTGAATGGGTATTCAGAAAGACAGGGTAGATGTTGAACATTAGTCCTTACAAGTAGGCAAACTCATCTATATAGGAGATAAAATATAAAAGTGCTTACCTCTGTCTTAATAGAAGTCACTCTAGTCCCCAACGCTATCGTCGTGTTGACAATTCGGAGCTCTTCGCCTCTGTGACATCTAGTATTACGACGATTCACTGAATGCGTGAAGAAGACAAACTCACACTGCTGCCGGAGCAGAATATATCGTGATGAGTGATTGAGAAACTACTCTTGCGAGTTTGGGATTGTTATGTCTACCGATAGCGAGAGCTCGAACGGCGAGTGAGGAACACCTGTCATACGTATCATCCGAATGTCAATTATGAACACGATTCGGGTAGAAGATGTACGGAGGGTGAGTAAAATAAAAACACTTCTTCACCAAAACGAATAATTTACTCACATGTCGATCAGAAATGTCGAACAAGCACCATGAATATTACCCATCCCATTCACCATGTCTTCATCAAAAAAAAAAAAGTCAAAAAAGTCAAAAATTCGGTTCCTTATACTTTGTCATAGATCACTAAACTACGCTTAGAGCTCACCTTCCTCCACTCTCATCCCACAAACCACTTTCGCTATCCATCTCTCCTTCTCCTCTGGATCCGGCATCAACCACACTTCGTCCACTCTGATTCTATCCTGTACGCTCTTTGCAAACAGGGTTTCTAGTTTTCGAGGAGTCCAAGATTGGAAAGGCCATCGACCTATAGCGAGTTTGAGTGTGTCGGGGACGTTGCCGAGGATTTGAGTCGAAGGGTCTTCGTTAGAGATGGTACTATTGTTGGTACTGGTGACGGTAGGACTGTGACTCCTATCGGAAGACATGGTTTCTGAGGTTAGGTCGCGCGTTTTGTCGAGACTAGATAGAAGAATGTGATGGACAGCGGGAGAGTGACAACCGACAACGACAAGGAGACGAGCACGACCAGGCACGACCGTCTGTCTGAGCTTCGGGTAATGA